AATGGAATGGGGGTGCCCATTCCGCAACACTGGTCAGTATATAGGAGGCTATGGTCGAGACAACAGAGATAACGGGCGGCGATTCGGTGACGTAACAACAAACAAAAGAGGGAATGACTCAACAAGGTCCGCGCAGCTCCTTATCTAGTGCACGTAGTCATCCCGAATACTCGGCTCAGAAGGTTCGAGCGTCGCGCATTCGGGGCGAGAATGAACATGCAGTTTAGAGAACGAGAAAGCAGGACGAAATTATGAAAGTTACATCCTTACTAAAGAATAAACGCGAATATTTTAGAAGTGCGTGACCGAGCGTTCCTTGCTCCGCTCTACGCGCGACATTATACTGAGAAAAAAAAAAGATCTCTAACAATTTAGCAGATCTTTATTACTTCGCTTTTCGTTTTGTTAATTTCAAAATGTACGGTGGTTCGGTTTTACGTCGGGTTTACAATTTTACAACATTTCTGAGGGTTCAAAGAAAGCAAGCGGGGTAAAATCACAAAAAAAGAAGTCGCTTTTGGAATTTTAACGTTGTTTTGCAGTGATTAGAAAATGATCTGAAGAATGACCAGTCAGTCAAATTGTTCGTTTGTTTAAATTTTAGGAATAACCTTTTTTCGTTTTGTTCAGTTGGCGTTTTAAGCCAATTGGAAACCATAGTGCCTATTCCTTGGTTTATAGTGCTAATCGCAGCATGAAAGCTGCAAATATTTAATGAAAAGTGTTTTTGATGATTCGCCAATTTTCACAAGTAGTACGATCTATGAACGTGGCGGAACATTCTTTATCAAACCTGGTTACTTCGGAGACTATCATTTCGGTATCCTAACGTAAGTAGGCAAATATTGCGTTGCTAAATTTTTCAGAAAGTTCAGTGGCGAATAGCGTTTCAGTATGTATGATAGCATCATTACTAATGCATTCCATGGCGTCGATTGACGTTAAAAAGTCAAGGCTTGATAAAATAACTAAATGTAACATGGCTCGATCGCGATTTGCGGTTGGTATTATCTTGTGAAGCAGGTACACCTCGTAAAAAGACAGAAGTTCGCAACATTGACAAGGATTTAAGCAATTTAAGGCAGGTTTGAGTGTTAACCAATCTATACAGACGCAATTGAAATCGCCACCAAGAACAATATAGTGACTAGGAGAATTTGTCATTAACTCTCCAAGGCAGTTGTGTAGTAATTCGCAAACTTGTGTTTGATCAGCGTGGGGAGGACGACAGCAGAATCTTCTGATAAAAGAGCAGAAGTTAATTGTACCCGTAGTCATAGTAATTGACAGTTCGAATTTATTACTATTTCTGTACAAGATATGCCTTTGTTCGCGCTAATGCGAAAACAAAAAAATTTTTTTTTGCGGTTTTACTATCATTGAGATAAATATTATACTGTTTACTCGTCGAAACTTCAGCAGCTCTCATGCCAGGCGTTGACCACGTTTCGGTCCCTATAATTTCATCGGGTGGGACACGAAAGATGAGTGTTTACATTATGCCAACCCTGTTTCATGATGCGTTCTTGAGAGCCAAAAGCAAGGACCAGTGAATCACTTTCGTGATCGTAAACATACCTTGAGTCGTTGACGTGTAGTTTATTGTATCTAACCTTGGGACGGGTATTGCGTTATCTGAATTGAGAAGCGAATTCCCACAGTTTCTTTCTGGCAAGGCGCACTTTACGTGAAAAATCTTCAGAGACTTGAACTTTTGGTGCCGTCATGCTCGTGAGTTTAAAAGCACCGTGAAGAACCTAATCTTTAAAATTCGATGATGATTTGACGATTTACTGCAATTGGTTGCCGGCCAAGGTGGTGGGCTCTTTTAACTGTTCCCAAATTGATTCCGACGTTCTCACTTACGAAACAAGTGAAAATTTGCTCTGTAACAGCCCAGGCTTCATTTTTTGTTTCCGGAGTGCCTTTAAATACTAGGTTATTTCTTCTCATTCGGTCTTTCATGTCACCCATAGTGCCTACAGTGCAACGACGTGCTCACGTAGGGCTGAAGTTTTATGCTGAACATTTGATAGGGCGAGGCCTTATAAATATATTGAAGAATAGAAATGCCCCAATCGGTTGCACTTTGAGGGCACAACCGATATTAATGCCAATAAATATAAATGAATGGGACCCTAGGACCAAGTGTGAATTGTACCAAAGAGCCAATCGGGGGAGAGAAAAAAAAAACGGAACACGCCAAAGGAATACCCTTTGAAAACCCAACGGGGGACAGCCCATCAGACCTCAACCCCCAGTCCGATCCCGCTACTGGGTCATGAGCATGGATCACAGTGGGTTTGGCGGGCCGGGAGGGAAATCACGCGCCAAGCGTTCTCGCCGCAGTGATTACTTTTATGGCTCTCGGCTCTCCCGGAGGGCGCCCCAGTGCGAGGGCCCTTCCAGGACGGGAGGGTGCGAAGGCAACACCCCCTCCCCCTCGCCCTACCCAGCAGGACTCGGGAGGACGTCACCCTTTATGTCAGCGTACCCCTTGAAGAGGCAGACTCGACCATCGGGTGACCAAGCCGATCCAAAGGCGTCCCTTATCCTGCGGGGAAAGCTACCCTATGTCCCCCCCTTTCCTCACAAGAGCCCCAGAGCTAGGGCTCTTCCCCCCAGGGCGGGGGGGGGGGGGGGGGGGGGGGGGGAGGGAGGGAGGGGAGGGCTCTCGCCAGAGGCTCCGTTGCAGCAATGAAGCTGGCAGGGCGCACCACGGTCAGGTGGAGGTTGACTTCCCACGCGGTGACAACCGCGGCGGCTTGCGCCCCTTTCACGCTGAACAGAAGTAAAAGCCCTTTTGAATGGCGTTCCAGTTTTTTTTTAACACTCCCTATTTTCGTACTTGTTATACAAGGCTCGTAACACGTGCGCCGAGTGCAGCGATGCCGTTTTTTAGTTGGTCAAGTTTCATTGCATTTTCTTCTTGATTTTTGTGTAAGCTTTCAATCTGACTTTCTAGTGCGTTCTAAAGCCTGCCTATTTTTTTTTCTGTATTCGTCGGAGGAACCGGATTAATTGCAATCTGCCTGGAAGAGGGCAGCAACAAAACCATGACAGTTGCTACTGTGAACAACTTTAGAGGTCCTGATAAACATAAACTGGATGAATTAAAGGAAACACTAATCTTAGTGGAGGACAACGCTCGTTTGGCCCTTTGTTAAAGGGAACGATCCAATCCGTGCCCAATAATTCACAATATCGATGCCTATTACAGAGTACACAAAATAAAAAGCATACTAACACTCGTGGGATTCGCTGACAAAATATATATGAGTGTACGTAATACCCGAAAAACTTTGGGACTACCTGCAAAGCACAAAATGGTTGTTTACGAGGCGAGTACACGGCTGCGAATCCAGAGGCTTGTTGTGGCTGCGCTCCCCGGTTTTCTTCAGGCCGTTACGTTTTTCCTTGGGAGTGATGATCTTGGTGGGACTGGTGATCTTGGTCGCGACGGTAGCGGTGCTTGGTTGGTTCTAAAGCATCGATGACGATGACCAAGGGGCGGTGGGCGCGTCTTGGGCTCAGTGGGATGCGCAGCACTTTTTCCAGGGGGAGGGATTGCAAAGCACGAGATTGCTTTTTACCGAGACGAGTAGTACCTTAGGTATAATTTGCTTGATGTATTTCCCGACACTGCCATTTGAATATCTGCACCAAACAAAGCGCTTAGTGATATTCTTTACACTGCTGTGAACTTAGGTACTTCTCAATTTTCATGTAGAACCTTTCATTCCTACCAACCCACATGTTAACTGATCAAGTCATAAAGTGATTACAGTGTACGGTAGAGATTCAGCTCGTGCTATTGGTTATGCGACTTTCGGTTTCAAATTGAAGCAGACAGCACCCAGACTAATTTCCCGGTGCTCCTGTGCATATATACGGGAACGCGGGTGCATTTTCCCTCTTCGCCGTAGAATAACAGAAATCACATTTGTTACTTTAGACGCGGCTAATAGCAGCTAATTTTGTTAGAGTAGTTGTAGGGAACTTTTTAGTCAGAATAATATTTTTGTTGAGTGAGCGATGGCTCACTCAACAAATTATTGTTATTTCACCATAAGAATATTTTTATTTGTGTTTTTTTTAATGCGTAGCAGGTTCTTAAAACAGTATTAACCAAATATTTCAAAACTTTCTCCAGCTGAATTTTCTAAAGATCTGATAATAGCCAAAATATTGTAAGTTTTCGCGTGACGATCGTAAAGTGTATTCAGTTGACGGCACTATTTTGTACTTGAAGAGCATTAACAAACTAAAACAGTTAGAAAAATCGAAACGACAGGTAGGCATATCTTTCAGTACAATTACGTTTCCAAAAATCAAAGTTTAAAAATAGAGGTTGTGCCCCAGGACAAATCTTGCGGACGATGCCTATACTTCGTCTCACCCTACGATGGACTAAAGGCAAAAGCTACAGACCGCAAGATCCAATCACGAACCACTTAGAAATTGCGTATTGCGTTTTGATGCACGTATCAGTGCCCGCGTCTGAAATCACTGATGGGGATGGGCGGACAGTGGTTTGAATCGAAATAGCACTGAGAGACTCAACAATTTTACATTGCAAAAAAGAGGCTGTTTGCAGTGTTGAAGCTATAGAAATGATGCAGCGTTTTTTGGTTCGGAGCATTATTCGTCCACCCCTAATCAATGCTAGGCATGTCATAGTGTAGCCTGGAACGTGATTGGACCTGGTGTCCCGTGGCTTTGGCCTTTAGTCCATCGTAGGATGAGACAAAGTATAGATTCCAAAACGTATTTTGCATGCACACGAAAATAATAATATTCTGAAAAGCAGCTTTGGTTCCAAAATTCACACTGGCATCACTCCATGACTGGTGACCTAGTGTTATTTTTATTTGCATCGTTGCTATAGACAGTTTCGACTACCACATATATGCAAGCTTTAGATAAGAGTTTAGTACTAATACACAAGTTATGCCGTTAGATGCACTTCCTGACTTATATCACGATATCTCAATGTTTAGGTCACCCGGTTCGAGACTATCACGACGTCAAAGTTGAAGGCAATTCCAACGTGACTTCAACAAAAGCGATGAAAAGTGATTGTGTTGGAAAGACCAGCAACAACGTGAGTTTTCTTCTTTTCTTTTGTACATATTTTTAATTTTTTTAAACGTATCATTTATTAGAAATATTAGGTATATGATCACGAATACTTATTGCAAAAATATGATGTTTAGAGTCTAGCACTCACTTCTGCTATAATTCCTTTACTAAAAAAAACATACAGTTTTAGAAAACAGATAATTGGGGGGATTGAAATAGGGTACGCAATTTAAGCACACCCAGCGCTAAATTTAGCGCTTGGGTTAGCGCAGGCTGTGGAAGAGAGTTTTAGCGTTTCTCCGCCGCTTTGAAAAAGCACAAAAATCTCGCGTTTACAACGCCGCCAAAATACAGTCACAATCATTCTTACATACACAAAATGCTGTAACGTGGGGAAAAAATGTTTTTGGTCCAGAGCAACAATTTAGATTTGTTTTAACATGAGAATGCGACGCGAGCGGTCGACCGGTCGTACCCGCTTGCCTCGCCTTGGCAAGAGTGGTCTCGTGTACTGAGCCTCGCACAACGTCCCTTGACCGAGAAATGTTCGCGCGTCGCAAGCATCAAGTTGCCGGTGATCGTTCCCGAACTAAGTGCAATGTCGTCCCCCATTGAAAATCGCAGTCGCGAGGATGCCGCCGACGTCGCACTTACGACGCCGCCGCATACATGATCCTGGGAGGCGCCATTTTTTTAACTGTGCTCATATTGGCTTTAGCGAACTTCTCATCAGGAATCCTCCTTGGAGGAGCGCAAAAACTATTTGCGTACAAACACAATTTAAAAAAAAAAAAAACGTACACTAAGAACTCGCACGCAAAACGCAAAACATAGTTACCCTTCGGGGCATGCTCAGTGGCGATGACGCCATTTTGGCGTACACAATGCTTTAGTGTGCGCTGTTCTAAAATTCCTTACTGTTACTGTTTTTTTCAAACTCATGGTATTTCAAATATGAATTGTCAGCAGCTCGCTTGTTGTTTAAGTATTTTGTGAATAATTTCTCCCACGTATTGGAGGTATTGTCGAGTAAATAAACAGAGAAACAAATCGACGGACCGACACACCAACATACAGACATAGCGATATATGGATGTTTGATAAGAATACTCATGATATCAATATTTTATTCAATTTGCGTACACATAATATAGTTAACATACCTACATATCCACACGGGAAAAATTCTGTCTAGACAGTTTGACTGGCCTGAGCCCCCTTGCAAACACACAGCGGAGACAAAAACAGAGAAAAAAACGTTCAGCCTTTACACTCTCGTGAAGAAGAAAGACCAGCCGAGCTGTACTCGATACACTATGTGCTTCTTCGTCGTCGTCTCTTTTTTGCGCTGTTTCTTACCATGAATTCCCGCCAACGCGGCCAACTATTCATTCTTCTATTATAGCTGGAGAGGTTGCCGCCATCTTCGAGCGACGGCGGAAACCATACAGGTTCTGTGCTTGCCGCCGTCGCTTTTAGATGGCGGTAGCTGTCCAGGTAGGTGTATATCGAAATACGCGGACACGATCCTGGGGAACCTAGCCCTTAACAGCTCCGATGTAAAAAAAAAGAAAAAAAAAAACATTAATACACTTATACATTAAATACACGTACTCATGAATACACGCCTAAATGCACACGTATACGCAATGAGGCAATTTCCCTCAGAGTGTTTTCAATGTTTTGAACTGGCTGCAGTTATTCTAGTATGCGAACAATAAAGACAAAATTTATGCTGCTCTTTTATTTGACGTATAAAGAAAACATTCGTTAGGAGGAAAACGAAACAATAAAACAAAACGTTTTTCGAAAGAAAATACTTTCGCTGCTCACGTGGGCTAGTGAATAAGAATAATTGTTTATTTTCATGAAGCAGGGTGGAGCGAAGGGAAAAGCCTCAAAGAAGGCTGACCAGGCCTCGGCCACCAAAAATGGAAGTGCAGTAAAAATGTGCGCGAAATTACCAGACAGTCCCTAATCCTTTAAACAGATTGAAACACAGTCCTTGGAGACGAAGAATACGAAAAACACCAAAGAGTGCACTTTATGTTGAACAAACGAATTTAAAGAATCAATTATGTGGATTAGGTGAATAACTCCCTATTAAAAATTCCATCAATATACGTAATTTTGTACACTGACTGCCAGTCAGCAGCCTTGGTGGAACGTGATGGACCATCAGACGTCATCTGATGGTCCATCAGATGACGTCTGACTGCCGCTGCCAAGGCAATTTCATCAACAAGGGCAGCGTTTACATGAGAGTAAAGCTATACGTACTCATAAATATCGCCAAATGCCTCGATTAAACAAAATGTTCGAGAAAAAAAAACGAAGAAAAAAAGCAGGACCAACGCGGATCGAACCCGCGACCACTTGCGTACAAATAGGGCACTTTAACCCCTATGCTATGCCATCTTTTTTTTTTTTTTTTTTTTTATTTTCTGAATTTTACAACACAGAAAATGACATCAATGAAGGGCTAAAAGAGCCACCCTGGCCGATAATAGAAACGAAAATTAAAAATCCTTAATGGTCGCCAGCTCTTCAAGAACGGGCAACCACTCAGGTAACGGTTGTTGCATTTTCATCACTTCCTGCAAGTGACACACCGTTTCTACAAAGTACTTGTGCACTGGGCGGACGTTGATATCGGCATGACGCACCGCAAGACGACACTGCCAGATACTGTGCAGGCCTAAAAGCATTATAAGATCATAAGGCACCGTGCCCTTTCCATCTACAGACAGGTATCGGATGCCGTGAGGCGATAGGGGTAAGTCCTTTTTTAGCGTTCTCTGCAGAACATCCCAAAAGAGCACCGCGTCCCAGCAGTCGATAAATACGTGTTCTATTGTCTCGGGCTGCTTACAGAGGACGCAGTGCTCTGACCATGCTGTTGGTACGCCTTTAGCGATAAGCCATGTTTTAACGGGCAGGGTTTCAGTGTGCAACTTAAAGAAGAAAGTTTTCACGTTCGCGGGAACTACCATATTTTTAACTCTTTTTAAAACGTCTAGTCCCGGGCCTGCACTGTATCTGGACCGGTACAACGGGACAGGAAATAACAAATTAATCAAATCTCTTGACAAACGTTTACGCGAAACCTCAGCGAGATAATCCAAAGAGAAACGCGTCGCTAAAAAGCGGTACGCACCGATGACTTCCTTAAAATAGCCGTATGCACCAGAAAAACAATCATCACACGACGCAACTACAAACTCTGGCAAAACATTGTATAGCCTTAACTGAATAACAGTCCTAAGAAAAGGGTCTTTCTGGTCACGAAGAAAAAGAAATCTGTTGACCAGTTGTCTTATGAACATGTGCGTGAGGCCTAGCCCTCCGTCTTTCACCCGACGAAAAATATTGGTTCGACACATTCTTTCCCAGGAGGAACTCCAGACAAAAACAGCAAAAACCCGATGCATACGCTGTATGTTAATTCGCGAACAATGTATCACCTGTAGTACGTACCACAGCTTTGCTGCTAAAAAGGTGTTACAGATAGTTGCGCGAGCAAAAATAGACATGGCACTTCCTCTCCACTTCTCAGTCCTTGCACGCAAAGTTTCCGTTTCCTCGCGCCAAAACTGATCGCTGGAGCGGTAGTACTCTAACGGTACGCCGAGATAGCGCACCGGCGTGACAGACCATTCAATGCGCTCAAAAACCGGAGGCGTGGAGGGCCAGTCGCCGTGCCAGAAACCCAGACACTTCTGCCAGTTGACAGAGCTACACGTGTTTTCACAAAACGTCACAGTTAACTCTACGGCTTTTTTAACACTCTCTTTATCCGAACAAAAAACGGCCACGTCGTCCGCGTAAGACAAGATCCGAACTTCACTGGCCTGTAATTTGAAGCCACATATTTGGTTACTACGTATGACGCTTAAACAAAAGGGTTCTAGATAAATACAAAAAAGCAGTGGTGAAAGTGGACAGCCTTGCCGCACTGAAGAAAAAAGGGGAACGCGGTCACTGACCCGCTTGTTAACAATGAGTCTGGTGGCGCAGTTCTGGTACGCCATACGCAGACCTTCAATCAAAATAGAGCCTACGTTTACATGCTCCAAAATAGAAAAAAGTATTTCATGGGACACTCTATCAAATGCTTTTTCGAAGTCAATTTGCAGTACCGCCACTCTGCGCTCCATAGCATCGCAACACTATAAAATGCTGCGTGCCACATGGACGTTGGTTACAATGCTTCTCCCCTTAATGCCACATGTTTGATGCGGGCCAACAATCTTAGCTATTACAGACTGTAAACGTTCCGCCAAGACTTTCATTAAAATTTTATAGTCAACATTAGTCAACGTTATAGGTCGATAAGAACTGACTTGACGAAGTTTCGCGGGGTCATCACTTTTCGGAATGAAAACGGTATGTGTGCTTAAAAAAGATGGTGGCAAAAAGCCGAGGTGATAAGCCTCGCGGATAACACCCAGCAAAAAAGGAGCAACGTCCTCTTTAAACGCTTTATAAAAGTCCCCTCCCAAACCATCCGGGCCGGGCGATTTACCTTGTTGCAAATTATCAATAGCTCTTTCGATTTCACTTAACTCTATCGGTTGTTCTAATCGTTCCTTAAGTTCATTCTCAAGTGTTGGCATAAGTGGCAAAAAAATACTATTAAACTCCGTTTTCTGCGGGGTGCGATACTTGAAAAGTTGGGTATAATAATCGACAAAAGCGCTTTCTATTACGTCTCTATCACCAGACACTCTTCCTTGATAAAAGATTTCACTTTTCATTTTTGCTTGCATATTTCTTTTCTATGCCCAAGGCTCTTTTTGTTGGCAACTCTCCAAGCGATAACCGCTTTAAACGCGCCCGCACCATGGCTCCCTGAAACCGTTCGGTATCGAGAGCTTCCAGCCGCTTTTTAAGATTGCTGATGTCATCCGAAAACATACCCGGCGATAAGCACTCTTCGCGCACTAGCTGGTCTAACAGGCCTTTTAACTCTTTTATTTCTTTCCTTTCGACGTGCTTTATTAAACTAGAACGCTCGATTGC